TCTCTCTCTCTCTCTCTCTCTCTCTCTCTCTCTCTCTCTCTCTCTCTCTCTCTCTCTCTCTCTCTCTCTCTCTCTCTCTCTCTCTCTCGTGTGCCTCTCCCGCTATCCCACCCCACTGTCCCGATGTCGAGCGCATCGGCCCGGCACTACTCAAGGGTAGCACGGGACCCTCCCGGCCGCGTCACGCAGGAGTTGGGATTAACCCTCGTCGCGAATACATACATGGAGTTTCCGCAAAGCCGCTCCGGTCGAGTGCGCCAGCCATAGCTCTCGCGAGCCCCTACGACAAGATAGGGCCTACGCGAGGCACGACTTACCTCCACCTTACGGGAGTTGTCACCTCCCTTCGGTGGGCGTAGCCCCGCCGAGCTACCAGTCCACAATACGAAAGCTAATCAGTTGCAGTCGCAGAGGTGGACCAGTCGAGGGTGTTTCTCGTTCGCTGTAGCATAGGGGGTACGGGCGGTACTACGCCTCTATCGGACCCGCACGCGAGCCGACATCTTGGGGGGCTGAGGTCCCAAGCGCGACTCGTCGCCGGTGGACTAGGACGTATCCCACACGCCACGCGCACACCACTATAAGGAACATAAGAATAAAACATACACAACATACGCACGAAACGACACGACATGAACAACGCGACAACGCTCCTAGTCCCTCGGTAGCCTTCCCATAATTTTCCAATGCGGAATCGGATAGGTGTCGTGCGCGAGACTTGGTATAAAACCGCGCGGACGCATGACTAACTTATATCAATTCGCGATGCAAGCGTACGCAAGCGGTTGCAGTGATGGCGTACTATGCAGTACCCATACTCATGCGGTCCTCGTTGATCTCCAAGGTCGCATTCGACACTCAAATGTCGGCTGACACACGCCTTGAGAGTTAATCTCTCGACGCTGGACAACCGTCAAGTGCGGTTGAAAGCCACACCCTCTTCTGCACCCTGCGGAGAGTGGGTGGTACACAGGTTCATACCTGTGGTGGCAGTCGTCTCTTATCGCCCCGGAGACCAGCTTCATCATCTAGGGCCTGAAAAGAAGTCAAGGGGCTTGACTTTGACGGCTGCCACGGACTACAACGTCCAACTATGATAACTCTTAAAAAGCAAAATAGGCCGAAGGCCTCCCTGTCCAAACGCACAAAATTGGGTATCCTTTTCGATGGGCACCTGCGGCCTGCACTGATTATGAATACACGCGCGTGCGTACGGATCCGTTAATCCCATAACTCTAGACACTGGGTCGGCAAAACGTCGCGCGCAAGACTTTGATATAAAGTTGTGCGGCTACAGGCCTGTCCTATACCAACAGGCGATGTTAATCATACGCGACAATCGCAGTTTCAGCCTCGCGATATTGAATGGTTGAAGGAATATATCGTGAGGGGTTACCCCTCACGATATTGAATGGTTGAAGGACATGTCGTTCAGCCCCCACGGCATCTCTGCCCTCTGGGTTGGGTGTCTCGGCGGGCAGGGCAGATACGCTCTACGCAAGGGAAGACTTCTACTCTGCAGAGCCTAGGGCTTGGGATGTCCTGGACAAGGACCTCGAATCCCGGCCCAGGACCAACGTCCGATCAAGAAATCAGAAAAAGCATACAATCTAGAGGAAGGGGTTTGCTGCCTTAAAAACTGTGCCTTCTCAGAGACAGACAGGGTTACAGTGGTTACAGTCCCTACAGATTACCCCCACAACAACATGGCTAAATACTAAGGGAATGAACGTTCCGTCCACATGCGCACGTTGCAACTGGGGGTGAGAAACATCGATGCACCTCTGGTTGTCATGCCCTGTGTCAGAAGGGATTTGGGACTGGTGGAAGGAATATTGGAAAAATATGGAGGCGGAATTTCAATGGTAGGAATAGGTTAGGGAGGAATTCAAAAATATTTCAACAGAATGAGGCCAACTTTCAACAAGCAAGTTAAAGCGACACTCAGACTGGCGGTACTCGCTGACTGGAGAAGGAAAAACCGATACTGGTTCAAGAAGACCTCGATCAGAACAAACTATGCGAAAATATCAGTTGACGGAAAGATGGAGTTCTCCTCTTCGATGAGTGAGGCCGATAAGTGGGGACGAATTTAGTCCCCTGTCAGGCCTAAGTATTTTGTTCGTCTCAGAAAGACCTCCGCGAAGTAGCGGAGTACATAGGTTACTCGGCTAATAAGAAGGATTGTACTAAAGAAAAAAGTGTTGGATTTGTTCGGTGTGGTGCTATTAGGGAGAAAAATTGTTGATTGTTGATTGTGCTTCAAGTTTGTTTTTAGGAGACATATAGTTGATTGGTTTTGTATGGAACAGTGAAACATGTTTTCAGCATGACTCAGGCTGAGCCCCTTCTTACTCTGCGCTTGACGCTGAAACCGGTTTCCAACAGTCATATTGATATATTATAAGTTGTTGGTAGGACTGCGAGCTCAGCTTGGAAGCAAAACTGGCTGAGGCTGCCAGGATAACTCCGGGTTGAATTGTGAGGTGCCCGACCTCGTCCTATGTTTCTTTTGCAATATATTGGTAAGCTTCCAAAAAAAAGGTCGGAATCTCTCACATTCGGTTCTGAAAAGCTATACAGGGGCGCAACGCGGCCGGGAGCGTTGCGCCCTGTTAGTGCGTTATCGAAGAGCCAGGTGACGCGGCTGGGAGTGCTGCACCCCGTTGATGCGTTATCGAAGAGTCAGGCGACGCAGTGGACGAAGACGCGAGGACGCGAGGCGAGAGAAAGGTACGTACAGGCGAGCCAGGCAACGAGGTGAATGGTAGAGTATGATGGCGCGTGGTAGGAGAAAGGGTGTGTAGGGTGGTGACGGGGAGTAACTATGGTAGGGGGGATGAGAGTGGTGAAGATGGGCAGGGGGGTGTGGGGTCGCTGTTCTTATGGACTAGGTTTGGTGGGGCTTGTTGTCCGAGTCCTCGTTTTTTGGTAAACCCTTCCCTCTTCCTCAACAATATGATAAGGGTATAGTTAGGGTGGTTCTGAATCCCCTGTGACGACTCGTCAACAGGTTTGGTGAGGGGGTGCCACACTGTTTTCGATTTCCCTTGAGGGATTGAAGATGGTCGTTCATGTTTTTGGTGTTAGCTTTGCTTTTAGCCTAGACGTTAGCAATGTGAGGAAGGGAGTTTTTCCTTCCCCAAAGACGATGGGGTAGGGTTTGCAGGATATAAGGTAAGTGGTTTGTGTTAAGGAAGAAGGGACGGGAGGTTGTTTTATTGAAACCACGCGTGGCTTGGCTGTTTTATAATTCAGAATCTACTAATTATGTCTGATAACAAAGTTTTTCAAATACTAAGGTTGATTTTTCATTGATAATTTCAATTCATGATTCTCGATTCTTGATTGTTTCTTTATAATAGGGTCCTAGTAATGTGGCATATCAG